TCTCAATCTGGGCCGAACAGCGTAATATCTCCGTTGAGAGCGCGACAGAGAAGGTGAAGGGTCTAAGAGATACTGCGCGATATCAGGTAAGCATTTTACATCCAGAGTTGACACCATTACTAACACCTCGAAGGAGGATATCTGGTAGATACGACGTATGACAACATTTTTGGAAATAATGCGAGGTGTAAAAAGTTCCTAGCTTAATAAAATACTATACTACTTATTTCTACATAATAATAATCTGCATGTTGTAGTATCCGGTTAGTGAATCTATTTCGTCCGTTGACTAGAGCAAGCTTTCGTATACCGACTCCTCTGAACCTTTATCTAACATGTTTTTACTTCCACTCCCTAACCCTGTCTCCAGCATCTTGCTTTCCATAGCTTATCGACACTTCATCCGTTCTTCTAATCCCACTGACATCGTTCTGAGTCTTCGTATCACGAAGTATACTTTCATCGCTGGCATTGGCATTATACGCAATGACAGTTCTGTTTGATGGTCCGCTACCTCCAATTGTTTCTGTACCAGGCATTGAGCCGTTGCCGTATTTCCGACCGCTATGATTTCCATACATGGGTAGTTTGTAGGAACTCGCTGCGCCGGAGCTGTCGCCTTGGCTGCCGTAGCGGAAGCGTACGTAGAGAGGGCGGAGGACGGGGATGGAGGAGCACATTATTGTTACTGTGCTTTCGGTCGCGGACCAGATGAGCATGTCGACTGTGTCGTCTGCAAAGGTCATTAGATGAATCACTGGCGGGGACGAAGGGACATACAAATGTATTCACTGGCGTTCAGTCCATTGAGAGCGACTGTGCGAACTATACCGCAGATACCAGCACTAATTTCGTCAGTCAAGGTGATTCAGCTTCGGTAAGAACGATGACTTACAAGATACCGAGACTTAAGCCGCATGCGACAGTAATTTTCTCTTTGCGCTTCATGTTGAGCTCCCAGATGACAAACCATGGAAGAATCGCAAAACAAAAGTCCGCTACGACGAACCAAGCTACACAAGTCAGCACGCTCCAACAATTCACAGAACAGCAACTTACATCCCACAGTCAAACCAACCTTGGAAAAGTCAATCCAGCACGTCCCCGGCACCCGTCGATCCCAAGTCCTCTGAACCGGATCGCACTGCACAACGACAACGATACTAGAAAACAGCGTGATAAACACTGTTCCCGCCAGAAACGCCCATATAAAGGCTTTCTGGAACTTATTCCGCACGATGCGCAGCAAAAAGATACCAACGGCGCACTTTCCAAGACCGATTACCATTAGTCCGGCTACTTGGCTGTATATCTCCAGTTCGACGGCTCGGAAGTATGCATCGGGGTTGCCAACATCTGCGAATTTGCGGCCGAGGCCGTATTTTGTACCGGCTGTTACGAAGGCGGAGTAGATGATCTGAAAGACCTGGGATCGTGAGGATGAGTTATTGGAGAGGGAGTGAAGACGTACCAGTGCGATGATGACAAGATAGTCATCTGCCCCGACAGAGTGTAGGATCTGAGATCTTGTGTATAATCTCAATCCAACGAAGATTGCGAAAATAACGACTTGAACCCATAGCACTACATTGAGCATAGGCCCCAGACCTCCGTAGTAACTCGTCATGATTCTAGCAACCAGGAATCCCAAGAGAGCTATCTTGGAAGAGGAGGGGGAATAATGCAGACTTGAGTCGCCCGCGTCGTCTGCTGGACCTCAAGACCTTATCGGCTCCGCGAGACTCACCATCGCCCCTGATCACACGTTTCCAACGGCCGAGTACGTTGCATCCCCGGGCAAAAGAAAAGAACGAAGGATCATTCACTAGCGCGTTTCAATGCATTGTTAAGGAGGATTGTTAACTATCCTTTGTTCTGGCGAGATCTACGCGAAAACCCTTGTCGGCGACATGGTGTGTCTGGCATGCGAGAGACAAACTTGGAGATGGACCAATAATAGGTGGTTGCATGACGGGAGAGATGTATTGGTTACATCCTGGAAATGAGGCAAACATGCGTGACTGTTGGTTGATGCGGGCTTGTTGTCTCTTTTCTCGTAAAATATCATATATGACAGACTTTGGGTGTGGGTGTTGGTTGGCCTTACCGTGACAATCTGGCAATCTGGCCCCTCGTCGAACCCGAATACTCGGGCCTCTGCAGGAACTTGTATTTGCCGTATGAAATTCACGAGGCTTGCAGTGAACTGAGCATCTAACTATTTCTCCTTAGTTGCCGCCGTGTGAAGGATTTGCCGAGACAATAAACCATCTCCACTTCCTCATCGAGCGGCCGTATTTGCTTTTTCTCCGCCGACCGGGTACAATGTTCCTCTACAATCATGATTCGCCCCATTGTCTGCCAACTGCATATGATATCTGACAGGGACGGTCGAGCAAACTCTGCTAGCAGAAGCGAAACCGCTAGAGTAACATCGCCTGTTGATGTTCGGGAACTCAAGCAAACTCGCCCCCAAACTTTAACAAGCAGCTCCGACGCCAGGGTTCGATTGAGGATTATTTTTGAGATAACTCGACGAGAGAATTCAGGCGACATTACGGTAGACCCACTATAGAACGACCGATATGATGATCGCGGCTCAACGTTGCATTTATGAACCGCGCCATTTGGTCGGGCCGTAACGGGTCAACCGCCGCTAGACCAGCGGTTTTAATGCATCAGCCAACGGCTTCTGTGTGCCGGCTATGCGAGTATACTCCAGGCAATTTGATCTTCCATACCCTTTGACTTGGATCTTATCCACGACTTCGGGCTATCTACATTGCAGCAGCAGCTCTGTGCTGGAACACCTGGAGAGGTATCTTGAGCCTCAAGAATCCTGGTGGGTAACGCGAAGAATTACCCGACGTATCCCGCGTTCCCCATGGGATTCGCATCCTAGCATGAGCTAGCTAAGCGAACCTGTTGCATAGAGAGCCAGGAAAGGATGGTGCAACATCTCGTTCGCCATCATTTGACATGTCATTCCAGGAAGCAGTTCATACGCATAATATTTGAGCGACATGAACATCAAAGGTGCCTGATATGAACCATCTTGGTGATATGCAGTACATTATCAGACAGAACGCTACAAGACTATCGGACACATCATAAGAGTAAGGCTTAGGTTATCGAGCATTGTAAAATACTCAGCCTGTATGACCAACTTACGGCCTATCCGAAGGATCTGTTTCATAAAAACTGTCTTTATTACTTGAGGGTGCAGTGGTACCCCTTTAATAGTGATAAGACCAAGATAACACGTGCCCCTAACTGCTCTACCATTTGCAAGTACTGCAAGGTGACTTATAACAAAGCCAGTATCGGACTAATCCACCACCACGAGATAGCGCCCAAAGAGACACCCATCCACACCAACTTCTCAACCTAGCTAGCTCAGCAAGGGGCAGCAGGGTTCTCCCACATCAACTGAATCACTAGTCTAGGTGCAGGCATCCCATTATGAATCATGAACTTATTTATATAAGCGACGTATCTCATTTTCTATCACATCCCCATTAATCTTTCTTTTTCGACTCCACTCCAAGACATACTCACTTTTATATCTCACTTCTCACAATGGGCTCAGTTGGTCCTTCAACAAACGACATCATCGCCACCCTCGATGCTGTAAACCCCAGTCAATTCGGTGGCGACGAAGTCGAGCGTCTTCGTGTCCGCGCAGCTGCCCGTCGTCTTTTAGCAAGAGTCGAAACGCCATATGAACGAGCATGGGGCTTTTGTTTCGAACATCCTGGTGTGTTCGCGGCGCTGCAGACTGCGATTGATCTCGGAATCTGGAAGGCTTGGACCAAAGAAGGTGGAGGGAAAAAGATGGTCGATGAGTTGGTCAAGTTGACTGGGAGGGACGTTGAGCCAAACTTGTTACGTGAGTTGTCATATCCCTGTTATCTTAGTCAAAGCTTACGAGTGTAGGACGTCTTTTCCGTCTCCTTGCTGCATTCTATGTGGTTGAAGAGACAGACGTGGATACCTTCAAGCCCACGCCGTTCTCATACGCCATTGGTGATGAAAGTACCAAGGTCCGAGCGTCTCTCGAAGCAGCGTAGGTCTTCCAGCCACAAAACCGATACGTGAAACTAACGAAATCTAGAACTTATCAGTACATCTCAGCGGGCCAGAATCTCCCCAAGTATCTCGCAAAGATAGGTTACAAGGTCCCCACTGCAGCAGAAGACAATAACTATGCAGGCAGCGATCCCGATGGCCTCAACTTCTTTGGGCGTCTTCAGAAGAGTCCAGAGTATTATGAGGCTTTTACAGGGCACATGGAGGCTTGGACGTCTTGGAAGACACCTTGGACTAAGATTTATGACCCTAGCGGGTTGATTGAAGGTGCTGATTTTAGCAAACCGCTGGTTGTGGATGTTGGCGGTAATACGGGTATTGATATCTCGCATGTTCTCAAGGCGAGACCTGATTTGCCAAAGGGGGCTTTGGTGTTGCAAGATCTACCGGAGGTTATTGAGCGGGCGGGTGTGGATGAGAAGATCACGGCTATGGTACATGATTTCTTTACGCCACAGCCTGTGAAGGGTAAGTCACTACCTTCTAACTGATGAGGGTTCAAGTACTAACTGAAGCTAGGAGCCCGCGCATACTTTATGCACGCTGTTCTTCACGACTGGCCCGACGCCCAGGCAACTCAGCTCCTTCAAAACACAAAGGATGCTATGACGAAGGGTTACTCTAAGCTCTTCGTCTATGATATTGTGCTGCCGCCAACTGGAGCTAGTATTAGTCAGACTACCATGGACGTTCAGATGATGTCTCTTCTTTCAGCCTCTGAGCGAACCAAGAGTCAGTGGGAGGAGTTGTTGACCGGGGCTGGGTTCATGATTGTCAAGTTTTGGCCTGATCCTCAGCAGTATGAGATGTTGATTGAGGCAGAGATTGCATGAGATAAGGATGTTTAGGTAGTAGATGGCCTTACTGGGAGCTTAGCTTAGCCCAGGAAGTCTATCAAGAACGATACATGATCAGAATGAAGATGAAGTGGCATTGCTACCTCGAGCACGCGCAGAGACTCGAACAAGAGCACCCATACCAGCAGTGAGACCAAACCTCAACCCTACTCCAAATCCGGCAGCTCAGACGAATCACTATCATCATCATCATCCTCCTCAAACTCCAGCCATTAAACTCCCCCGCCGCAATCCTCATGAGTTCCTTCCCATCACCATCTGGATCCTCCGCAAACGTCATGAGTATGTATCCCACTCTAAACGGGAGCTGTTTCTCCTGATCTAGATACGTCGGCCCGTACAGCTTTCGAAGCACGGGATCGCAGACACTCTTGATCTGGCGAAGGAACTTCCATGACCACCGGTGTAGAACGAGATAGAGGAAGGAAAACTCAAACATTTCGGCGGTGAGGGCCATAGCGAGGGGTTGGAGAAGGGAGCCTGCTTTGAGTCTACCGCCGTCTGTTGCTTTTTTCTTCTGTTTTTGTTTCTGTTTTTTAGCGTCTTGTGCACCCTCTGCTTTCACGAAGGCGAGTTCATCTTCGGAATTGTCTTCAAGATAATTACTTCGAGAAATGATGGCGTCAACATTATCGGGTGTCAGATTGACTTGTCCAGACTTGTGTAGATATCTGTCAAAGAACATACGCGACACAGGGACACCATCTTCTATACCGCGAGGACCAGACCTAGAAGCCAGGTCCTGATGTCGCTTAGGCTGTCGCAGAAGACGACCCTTGTGAGTTGTGATAGCTGATGCAGAATATCCCATCTGGAGGAGAAATCTGTTGAAATACTCATCCTTGTTCTCGGGTGGACTTCCAACAAAGAAGTTGGAATCACCGAGTAAGCTCCGGACTACATCCATGTCTTGCCATCCATTGATGAGTAGTCCCTCCTGCTGGAGCGCATTGTATAGATGTGCGGGATAGGTAACAGATCCCCATGCGTTCAATACTGCAATACCAACTTCATGCATCCCAGCGCGGTAGTGAAAGAGGAGCAGTCCGCTTAGGATAGACGATAAGAAATGAATGCGGTACATCTGGTCATGCGTGACTTCTGCGCCTACTTTCTGGCCAACTCTCTTCTTGGCGAGAAAGACGGGGTCTTTACCAATCCAGCCGATAGACTGTTCCAGTTCCTTGAGCGCACGCTCGCTCGACGCAGGCCACGTTTCGCTCTTGAGGTTCTGATGATGTTTCATATGCTGATTCAGATCATTGCGCATGGCACTCGTGTGAGAGCTGAGCGTCTCAAAGACTGAAGCTGTATGAGCTCGGAGGATATGGTGGACATCGAGAAGGATTTGAGTAGCAAAGACCAAGTAGAAGGGAGTCTTGTCAGTCTTGTCGAGCTCCCGGATTCCTCGGATGAATTCATCTTCAACTGGATAATTCTGCACAGCTCTGGCGAGAGTCACTGCTTCGGTGAAGTATTCAGAGAGAATGATCTGATCCTCGTTGAACTTCTGATGCCCGTTCTTCCGTGATCGATCGCTGCTGGGATCATACGTTCCAAACATTCCCTCCTTATAAATCAGAATGTTATGCGGTCCCAGAACAGCCACCAAAGCCTTGAGAATATATTCGCGTTGAGGAACGTATCATCCGCAATATCATACATCTTCTCATTCCCGCCCTTGGGACCCCAAGCCTTGACCTGAGTTATAGAAAAGCCCTTCATCATAGCAAACACAATAGAGAACTTTTTCGAAACAGCGCAAGCGCCACCGTGCGGTTCAAAGATGGGAAGAATAGGCTCCACGAGATTCCGTGCAAGGTCGATGCCCGTGTTTGTGACACGAGCCGCTGTAGCGAGGTCATGAAAGCCATCTTTGTAGTTCGCCCAAATAGACTTGATGTTGGATCTGATATGCGTGAGATCATCGAGCATAACAGCATAGGCTATCATAGCATCTTCAAGGGTGTTTTGCGGTTCAGCTTCGTAGAGATTCTCATCGTCTTGGGTCTTTTGAGGACGGACGATATCTGGAGCATCGAGGAATTCTTGTGAGGGCTCGTAGACGTTGAGACCGCTGAAGCGATTGGTTAGATCTTCGATTGAGTCATATGATGGTGTGTCGGTGGGCATTCGTGGGCGAAGAATTCTTCTGACACTCTCGAGGACGCCGATGAAGTAGTTATGAGTTGTGTCAGACTTGTCGTTTATCTCTGCTCCGTGTTCTTCCAATTGGGCTCCGAATCTGGAGCGCATGTAGATAACGCGATCAATTGTCTCGGCGAGCGACTTGGGTACTGAGATGAGTGGTTTGGTAGAGGCAAAGATGTACTCTGCCAAGAGAATAAAGTCCTTGATTGCAATAATGTACTTGGGTCGAGCTGGTTCAACTGGAGCTACTCTCGGAGCACGCTATTGCTTCTTGGCATCTTTTCTAGCCTTTCCCTTCAAACGACCTCCGCCCTTGGGTTGAGATTGTTTTGCTGCGGTGGAGGTGAGTAGATCAGCTGGGTAACCGCAGGCTTTTGCAGTCGAAGCGAGCCATGCTGCGACTGAGTCGGTGTCTGCCTTGTACTGCTGGTACGTGCCCTGCAGCGGCGTCGGAAGCATCTTGATGATTGAATGCAGCTCTGAGGCTCAGTTGAGGACCCTGGTAAGTGTTGGAGGGGTCAAATTGAGGGGAAAAGTGCGCGATTGAGGTTGCACGAAATTGAGTTTGTCACGTGATATGGGAATCCCCTCACTTTTACTGGCACGATCGATGACTACTATCTGTAGGAGAAATCATGCTTTATTTAATATAATACTCATAAACGAAGTTATGCGAAATTGATAGTTTCATTCATTGCTGTCGTGTCAAGAATTATCCGCAGATAGACCTAAGCCTTGGTAAATCCATGACTCCAAGGAAGACCCAGAGGGTTCACGACGCTAAAGTCGCGCTCATGAGGATGTCCCTGGAAATCACCCTTCTGCGTAGTAAAGTTCTCAATCACACCCAGATTCTTAATCCTTCCGAGCAACTTCTCAAGCACGCGGTAACCCGAACCGGCAGCATATCCGGGGAGTTCATGGCCCGCAAGCTGAACCTCATACCACGTCAGACCACGCTCCTCACCCCACTGTCCAACAACACCCTCCTCACTGAGTCGTCCGCCGTTCCAGTCAATGTGGAAGGGCACCCAGAAGTTCTTGTCTTGGGGATACTTCTGGAAACCCTTCTTGCCGTTCCAGGTGGCGTTCTGGAGGGCGAAGAGGGTTCCGTTGGGGGGCAGGAGGAAGTCGAGACGACCGACTCCGATGATAGTGTTGTTGGTGTGCTCGATGACGCGCTTGAGAACGTCGTTCTGAGCGGGCGCGAGGGAGGTGTCGCTGCGGTTGGAGTTGGGGTCGCCGAAGCCAAAGACCTTGTTGGGCGTGCACTGATACCAAGTCACGTCGGTGGGGGCGTTGAGGGCCTTCTTGACGTCTGTGCGGTTGAAGTAGACCTTGGCACCGGGAGGAGAATAATCGCCCTGGACTTGTTAGCACTAGTTTTCAGAAATGGTAGAGATGAGCTTACCTGGTTGACAATGCCGAGCTGACTGTACGCATGGGGGCAGGTATCAGTGATGTGATAGATGTTGAAGCAGGGGTTTGAGTCCAGAGCAGCGGAGTAAGCCCAATCGAAGATATCACAAGTATAGTTGCTGTTGGGATTCGTATCGGCGTACGGATCAGGCAGAACAGGGAAGCTTTCCTCAGGCGGAGGGAAAGTCGCATACTTCTCGAGATACTTCTCATAACCACAGTGCTGATGCGTCCATCGCAGAGCATTCATGTACGACTGGTTAAGATAGAACAGGTTCGCCCACGACTCGATATACGGGTAGATGACAGCCTGCTCCTGGAGAGTACTATCACCGATGATGGGGTCGTTGATGGCCACGCCGCCGAGCTTGTAGTAATCGTCATCGTTGGCAGTGATGAAAGCGTCGGCGATGTAGGGCACGTAGAAGCCGGCGTAGGACTCTCCGGTGATGTAGGTGGTGGCGCCCTTGAGCTCAAAGGTGTTGATGAAGTTCTTCCAGAAGCCGATGAATTGCTTGCCGAGCTCTACTTCGTTGGTGATGTTGGGCTTGCCTTGGCTGTAGCCTACACCGACGGGCTGTTCGATCCAGATAACGTTTGTGCTAGTATTATTAGTCAAGCCACAATCAAAGTCAATCGTGCGACTTACAGGTTGGTCCAGCTGTAGCTGTTGGGCACGGGAGCCAGAGTTCCCTCTTGCCAGAGGAAAGGTCCGTTCTCGGTCAGGAGACCGCTAAGCGAACTGCAGCCAGGACCACCGTTCAACCTCAAAAAAGTCAGCATTGTTCTCCAATCTATCAATTAGACCAAAACCTACCAGATAACAACCTCATCTCTCTTAGCCTTGGGATTGGTGCTAGGGAAGAACCAAAAGTACAACTTGCGCTCCTCTTTAGGATCCTGAGAAATCGGGAGGAGTCCAGCATAAGACTCTCCAACGTCGAAATCGACCTCAGGAATAGCAGAGCCGTTGACAACAAACTTTTCAGAATGCTTGTTTAGGAACTTGCTCTTGGATCGCTTCTCAAAGGCAGGCTGCTCCGGGACGACCGGCGCAGCAGCGCGCTTCTGATCGTATCGGCGCGGATGCACGCGATCAAAGGCGCGGATGGCACCTTGGTTGAAGGCAGCCTGGGACAATGTCCCAAAGGCCAAAAGAGTGCTGAACAGACTGAACCGCATTTTGAAAAGACAAAGACAGGTTTGGTCGTGCAGAGACGCATCAATTGTTCATGGCGGGGGAAGGTTCTTATAGCTGCAGCGTGTTATGTATGCGTGCTGCACAGACATGGTATTGATCACCAAAATTGAATATGCGTTCTGATGTCACAGCACGGAAACACGGCACTTGCACCATGTCAAGGATTATCGTAGCATAGCCCAAATTGTATGTACAGATTGACCGGTAAGAACGGCATCGTACATACAGGCAGCACATGCATCCTTGTAGGATCGGGAACTGCCTCACTCGGTACAAGTGTGGAGAGCAAAAGTTCCGCCTCACAGACCTTCCTATCCTGGTGAGCTCTTCTCCAAAAGTGCAGGGATATTTTGGAGGCGCCGATCTTGATTTCGTTCAGGCTTAACGGCAGTTCTATCCCTCATTTTTCCTTTATCCACTGCAGCTTGTCACTTGTTTCCTACGGATAGAGAATAGTGTGCTAGCAGCTCTTCTAATCGTCATCGGACGCTACAAAAGGACGGAGGCGGCGGGCCTTGGGGTTACAAAATATCCTTGCAATCTTACGTGGAGACCTCTATCTATAATTGAAACAATTGGTTCGACGACGGGAGGGGATCTTTGTCTCGGTTAGACACGAGACGCATCCGATCTGCATAATGTATGGAGTCAGTCTCTACGCAATTCAGTTCGTTGTTATCGTGATAAGCAAGCCATTTGCATTCCTCCGCATGCAAGCCACACGCGAGTCTGACAAGCACTAACTACGTAGTAGGTAAGTAAGCCTCGCCACGCGTTTGGGCAGTCAGACGACACTACACTTTTGGAGATAACCTTCCCGAAGGTGGCTGAGAGATCTCGACAGAACTTCTCGAACCAATAACGCTTGTTTCTAGCGCTGCCTCGGACGCCTCGGCTTCCACGTACTCTTTTGTGGCACCATCGGATGTGAGAAGCCGTTCCGGTGCGACGTGACGCTCTGTTCAACGATAACAATAAGGTTAATGAGACCGGTTTCAAGGGACCGCTTCAAATGGCTTCAGTGAGTTTTGCTGATCGCGCCACGTGCTGACCGCTTAATTACTGCTTTCGCAATAACCTCATTTTTTGACTCTTTGTTAGTCAAGACTTGTCGCACTTTAACATCGCCAAAAGTCAATTCAGCGAAAAACCTCACTTTTTTGAGTTCGCCGGGGCTGTTCGTATACAAGGTTTTGTCTCCCCAGTCACAATTGACGCCCGTCGCAAATAACGCATGATACCGTGCCATGACCCAATATTAAATGGGACAGCAGAACAAAGTTTTATCTACAAAGGTTGAGAGTGAGTCGAATGAAGTGCATGGCCTGCGAGGATTTCAATTTAACTTTAAGAAATGATCCTCAATCAATTTAAGTGATTCTGCATTTCGGAGTATTTCTTGACATGGAGCACTGTAGAGCGGACATACATACCCTGTAGATTTATCAACCAACACAAGATGCCAGCTTTAGGAAACAGATCTTGACTTTTAAGTTAATTTATTATATAGGCATAATGCAAGAATTGATATTATTGTATTTCGTTTTATATATAATATCGCTCTTTAAGAAAAAAACATTATAGAAATAAGATAAAGGGTAAGGAATACAAGTTGCATTAACACGTATTCGAACACGCATTACTACATTTTCTGTTTGTTATACCAAGGTTAGGCTCATTATTTTATTCATTCTAGGGACTTTGAGTATAGATACCAGTCTCTAGAATAATCTGAGATAGTACATATTGAGGTTTACTGTATTGAAATACTTTATTTATTAACAGCTACGGCTGTGTAGAAAAACAGCAAGATTATGGCCTGTTTTCATTATTGCTGCCGAGTAGGTACTCAAGAGATCAAGCATTCTCAGGCATATAGGGTCTATGGGGTTCATATTAACCAAGCATAGCTATACACTACAGCTATCCTGCCAAGACAGCGAGCCAGTTATATAATTTACGTCTTGAGCCTTGCATGCATCTTAGAATATCAAGAGCAATAGGATGCAACTGGCAGTGGTTGCAAGCTTAGTGAGCTAGTCTGAACACGTTAAGTGTAATGCAGAAAGCTTTAGTTGTAGCTATCCTGTCGCACTTATTATTACATGCTCCTGATTAACTAGGTTCAATGTTATAAGAATAAGCTCCCAGTCACACAACTCAAATGCAACTAACACATCGACCTCATAACTTACGGCACTCGATTGACGAATGATAACGCTTCTCAGAATGCTCCATGATGTCAAATTGTCGAATAAACGTGGAGGGTGCGCACAACTCGACGATGCTCAACCAATCAGAAAATTGGTAAGCATAACTCTATCGCGCCCTATGCGCTTGGCGTCAGCTCTTGTTGCCTGCCTTCCCCAACTCTTATATACAAGACACTACGAACCCCCTCACTTCAAGATATCCATTACAGCACCCAATCTCAGGCACAAATATTCCGTTTGGCTCATCTATTGTTGGCAGCCCCGAAAGCCCATATTAGCCCATCACTCAACCCAACCCTTCTGTTAGCGGCCCTAGAGTCAAGATGGCAGTCTATCACAGCGCCGAGGGCAGGAAATTCTTTGTCCCGCTTGAGAATAACCCTCAGGTCTTCACCAACTTAGCCCATGATCTAGGCATGGACCCCAAACTCGAATTCCATGATGTCTACTCCCTCGACGAACCTGAGCTTCTGGCCATGGTGCCGCGCCCAGCACACGCTCTCATCTTCATCACGCCTTCTAACGCCTACCACGCCGTCGAGGCTGAAGACGTGGCCGCTGGTAAAAGAACGCCAGCTCCTCCTAATCGGAAAACCTACGAGATGGAAGGCTTCGATGACCTCTGCCCGACGGACCAACCGGTCCTTTGGTTCCCCCAGACCATCGGAAACGCCTGTGGCATGGTGGCACTCGTCCATGCCCTTCTCAACGGTTCGTTACGCCAGCGTCTCGTGCCGTCATCACCACTAGCAGGACTCCTTGACGAAGCTCTCAAGCTGCCCTTACCCACTCAGCACGCGGACCTGCTGTATAACTCAGCGGTTATCGAGGAGGCGCACAGCAAGGCGGCAGCTAGAGGCGATACAGCAGCACCGGACGCCCAGGATCCGGTCGGATATCACTTCATGGCTTTTGTGAAGGGGGCGGATGAGAATCTCTGGGGCCTGGACGGAAGCTTTGGTGGGATGATGTGCTACGGACCTGTGGGTGAGGGGGAGGATATGCTGAGCAGCAAGGTCTTGGACATTGGGGTGCGGCGATTCATCAACGCCGGGGAGGGGAGCGCTGAGTTCAGTATCATTGCGCTATCTGAGCAGGAAGTCTAGGCTTGCTCCTGATAAGTCAATAAGCAATCGCGGTGGACCTTGATTAAATTACTATCAAGATACTGTGTACTTTATGAAAGGGTCAATTGTGGACGACTTAGATGTATGAAGAGTGCTGCAAGTACAGCCAGACACCTATAGAAAGGCGATGTGACTTCTTTAAACCTGAATGAACCTGGCCAAAATGGTTAGCGATCCATAAAGACAAGCCGAGACCAAGATTATACAGCTGGTTGTTGAGCGGCAGTCAACCTCGAGATTTAGTCTTGCAATTAATTAATACTTAAAAGCTTATAATACGTTAGTAAGATATATGAAGCTATTATATTTAAAAACTATGTAATTTTAACTAATAAAAACTAATAAATTATAATTATACAGATTATTTACTAAATATATAAAAGGATAAGAAAATTAAAATTATTTAATTAAGAAGGATAAATTATTTAATTACTATATATCTAGCTTTTAAGATAAAGAGATAGATTTTAATATAAAAGCTTAAGTCCTTAAATATAGCTATTAATAAAGTTATATAT